CTCCCTCCCAGCGCAGTTTCCCCAAGCTATTTCCACAGCTTCATCCCGTCGAGCATCCGGTCTCGCTCCCTCCCAGCGCAGTTTCCCAAAGCTATTTCCACGGCTTCATCCCGTCGAGCATCCGGTCTCGCTCCCTCCCAGCGAAGTTTCCCCAAGCTATTTCCCCCAGCTATTTCCACGGCTTCATCCCGTCGAGCATCCGGTCTCGCCCCCTCCCAGCGCAGTTTTCCCAAGCTATTTCCACGGCTTCATCCCGTCGAGCATCCGGTCTCGCTCCTTCCAGCGCAGTTTCCCCAAGCTATTTCCACGGCTTCATCCCGTCGAGCATCCGGTCTCGCTCCCTCCCAGCGAAGTTTCCCCAAGCGATTTCCACGGCTTCATCCCGTCGAGCATCCGGGCTCGCTCCCTCCCAGCGAAGTTTCCCCAAGCTATTTCCCCAAGCTATTTCCACGGCTTCATCCCGTCGAGCATCCGGTCTCGCTCCCTCCCAGCGCATTTTCCCCAAGCTATTTCCACGGCTTCATCCCGTCGAGCATCCGGTCTCGCTCCCTCCCAGCGAAGTTTCCCCAAGCTATTTCCACGGCTTCATCCCGTCGAGCATCCGGTCTCGCTCCCTCCCAGCGCAGTTTCCCCAAGCTATTTCCACGGCTTCATCCCGTCGAGCATCCGGTCTCGCTCCCCCAGCGAAGTTTCCCCAAGCTATTTCACCAAGCTATTTCTTTCCCCAAGCTATTTTCTCTTCCTTCCTTCTTCCTTCCCTTCCTTCCCTTCCTTTCCTTCTTCCTTCCCTTCCTTCCCTTCTTCATTCCCTTCCTTCCCTTCTTCATTCCCTTCATTCCCTTCCTTCCCTTCCTTCCCTTCCTTCCCTTCCCTTCCTTCCCTTTCCTTCCTTCCTTTTCCTTCCTTCCTTTTCCTTCCTTCCTTTTCCTTCCTTCCTTTTCCTTCCTTCCTTTTCCTTCCTTCTTTTTCCTTCCTTCCTTTTCCTTCCTTCCTTTTCCTTCCTTCCTTTTCCTTCCTTCCTTTTCCTTCCTTCCTTTTCCTTCCTTCCTTTTCCTCCTTCCTTTTCCTTCCTTCCTTTTCCTTCCTTCCTTTTTTCCTTTCTTCCTTTTCCTTCCTTCCTTTTCCTTCCTTCCTTTTCCTTCCTTCCTTTTCCTTCCTTCCTTCCTTCCTTCCTTCCTCCCTTCCCTCCCTTCCCTCCCTCCCTCCCTCCCTCCCTTCCTTCCTTCCTTCCATCCAACACATCTCCGTCGACCACTCAGTCTCGCTCCCCCGCGGCGAGTGCAACTAAACGAGAACCCAAGCATCGGAGATGCTTTTGGGAAAAACATGGGACAAGAGCCAGAAAAGCTAAGCCATGGGCCATGGGTCAAACCCCAAACCCGCACCTGGACTTTAACTTGAAAATAGCTGGGAAGTGGACTGGATGTTCCCAAAAGAGACTCAGAAGTATTTCTGGATGTATTATAGGTCTTGATCCATCCACATATCACACATATCATTCGCTTCCATCAATCAGGCTTCTTAGCCACTCACGCTGCGATGCATCTGACTGAAGTGTAATATCCCTGTATATAAACCGATTCTGGTGTAATGCAACAGTTGTAATGAATGGTATATGCATTTGATTTATATCTACAAAATAGAATAGCATCTATCTCTCTCTCTCTATGCGTACATATCATAATATCTATATATATATATTATGATATAAATATATATATATATATATATATATATCATAATATACATATATATATATATATATTATGTATACACGTCTCTGTGTGTATGTGCGCGCTTAGCGTGACTGATATGTGATTTGGTGTGATTTTGAGCAGAACTATTCCTCTGGCGTCTTCCCTTATGTAATCCTGCTGTGTCCTTTTCCGACCCAGTGCTGCCCGCCTGCATTGGAAATGGGTGGCCACCCTTTCAACATGAATGCCTTGGCCATCAAAATGTGGATATATATATATATACAAAACTACTGGCAAAAAAATGGATGGTTTAATGAATCTGTTTAATATGACTAAACACTCATTTCTAAGAGTGTCCTAAATCACTGATTTTGGCCCATACATGTCCATACCCCACTCTTCCTTCAGAAACTTTTTATTCTGAACTTGTAGGTTGGCCCACAGCTGGTCAGGCTGGTCAGCCTCACGGGCCCACAATTTACTCATAACAACTCATCCCTGGGCATGGAATCCCTATCATGTAAGTGACACATAGTCTGTATAATGACACAACATTTCAGCATGCTTCAAGCCAAAGTCAGCTTTTCTTCAAACATCTTATAGCAATCTTGAGACAGAACGAGAAGGATAGACGTATCTTCTGAGATGGCCCGACTCGCCAGAAGAAGGCCGAATATGGAAAATACCTGCAGCACTGTCCCTATAGGGATGCTGAAGAGCTCAGGGCTCGGGCAAATCTGTTGAGGAACAACATTGGTGTTTCCTAAAAAAAAATAAGGTACCCCGAAATCATGCCAAAGTTGCATATGTTGGGTCAAGGTTGGGATTGAAACCCAAAGGGTTTAGGCTAACCCATGATGGTAGGCTATGCCCAAATGTTAGCTGCCCTCAAGCAACTAGACAATTTTGGAAACAAATCCACAAGGAATCGCCTCCCGGCAAAGCATAAGACCACACCAGCGATGGCGGCCAATAGACCTGTCAAATCACAGAAGATCGCATTGAGCCCAGCACTTTGGCTACCATCATCGTTGAGCTATGTGCTATGGTTGAGTACCGTACCTGGCTTACAGCATGGTCTAGTGCTGGACTGGATCTATCCGTTTCGCAGTCCCGCCGCCCCACCCCCCAACAAACAACAAATATTATATAAAAGGCCGGAAGGGTGGAAGGGAGTAAGTCAGATACACGTTCAAGATCGTCTCATCACCATTTTCGCCGCGCACAACGGGGCCAGCACTTTGGCTACCATCATCGCGTCATCGCGCGTAGTAATACCTTTTCATCGACGACACATACTCCTGGAGCGACGGGCTTCATCATTGCAGGTGGAACATTGAAACATATCTCAGTTACCCTCTGGTAAACTAACGTAGCTATTGAACATCACCATTTTAAATAGGTAAATCAACTATAAATGGCAATTTTCAATAGCTATGTTAAATTACCAGAAGGTAAAACTTCAAACTATGCCACTGTTTTGAAACCAAGGGTTGGTAATGAGAATCACAGCTAAATTTTCCAGCAATTGCGCGGCTTCAGTGGATGCCAGGGCAAAATGGACCAATGATCCCCTTGAAAACCAAACCGACATCTGGCAGATTCAAAGATTTTTTGTACTTTTTTGTACTGGATCCTAAAATCCGGAAAACAAATCATCAAACCGACTCTGCTCCCCCCAAAAAAAGAGTAAATTCCCAGTCGAATATTGATAAATCACATTAAATCACATTTTGTTTGTCTATTTGGGGGTTATGGGGTCACTATAGAACGACCCTTTCACCATCCGCCACTAGTGGTCTCCTCGCCCAAACGATCACCAGCCTCTCTGATCCACGTCATCAAACTGCGCCGTGACGCGATGTCCGGGTCACTGGGCACCCTTTGCGAGGCGTAGAGGTGGGGAGATACCCTCCGGTAAATTCACGTAGATAAAACATGATAAAATTACATAAATCCAATCCAGGTCCAATTGAAATACACTTAGCCTCCAGTAATCAACATATAGCTATCATTGCTACGGAAAGTTCATGTTTGATGAATAAATCACATACAAATGGGCCATTTTCTGCTATTTTAAATTAACTGAGGGGTAAATCCAGCCAATGGGAATTTTGCTAAGAACCATGAAGATATCTCGGTTTTGGGATGTTTCTGGGATCTTTTGGGGATTTGTGAATGAAATTCATTATCATGAAATCAAAATCATAATTAATATATATATATGACTGATTATAATTATAAATGTGTTTGTTCCTGCTCGAGCTATTTCCGTGGGGGTCCTGTCTAGTTCCCCTGCATGTTGTTCCCATCTCCGCTTCACCCCGTCATCATCCAAGCAACTCAGCTACCGTTAGGCCTGAGCACAGCAGGTCCAAATCATCACCATCCAACAGGATGTCGCCTGCCAGACGAGAAACCGGACGATTCCAGTGTGGCTCTGAACATAGGCCATCCATGGCTATCTGCTATCCCAAAATCTCATGCTTGATAATCATGTTCTCACTTAACATGGCCAAAAAAGGCCAAATATTAGGACCCCATTCCCATACTACTCCCACAGCCCCCAATAATGGGAATGGGGGTCCCATCAGTGAGTCAGTGAGGGTCCCTATACATTCAATGGGTATAACCCATATTCTTGGGCCAACCCGGACAACTGAGGTCTTAAACATCAAAAAATCGAGGGGATCAGGTTTTCAGACCAGTTGATCCCAGTGATCAGTTTCGGTGCTCTGATCATCTCTGATCTCAGAGGCTAATTATACACCCAATTAAGCGCCAACCAGGCTTCAAGAAGTACCAAAACTGTGGTGTGTTCAACAACACTTTCAATCGCCTTCAAACTACATGCCCATAACGGATTCAAAGATCCAGCCTGTAATCCAATTGATGGGTTGCGTCATCCGAGTTACCAACCTCTCGGCGCAATCGAGGCTCGGATGGCAAGCGAATGTCAAGGTTTGATAGTACTTATAGTAAGTTTCCCAAAAAGACAGGAAAAAATGTTCCATATATAGATAGATATATATATAATGTATATTTCTACTGTTTCTTCGGAGGCTTATTATAAGACAATTTTAGATCTTGAACAAATGTAAAAACCAAAAAAACACTTGAAACCCATCGAATGGATGCTTCGCAGTCACATTGGGGGCTGACCCCACGAGGTGGCCACCAACGGCATGTTCATCTGTGGTCCTCATTTCGGTCATGTTCAATGCTGGGAATCTTTACCTTGGACCAATTCAGGACCCAATAGTGATGGGTCAATTGTAGCTGGTTGGTGATTTCAACCCTTCTGAAAAATATGAGTCAATGGGAAGGATTATCATGATTATCCCATATATTATGGAAAAGATTCCAGTCATGTTTGAAACCACCAACCAGGTAGTGACTCATCACCCACCAAGGGATCACCGTTCCGTTCCGCCTGGTGGAGAGCACCCCGGGCGCGGAGACCCTGCTCCAGGCCCCCACCGACGTGGCCAGATGCCGGAAGAGCTCCAGCGCTGTGGGATCATCGGGACCTCGGTCAGGGCAGGGTGAATTCATGATGGTAACCTGGGCATCACCATGGTTTAAGTATGGGAACCATAGGTATAACATGGTATGATTATAGTAAGAACATGTAAGAACTATATATATATATTATATATATATATTATATATATACATATAATCTATATTCACGCAATTTTCATGGGAATCACTATATGACTATATGGTAATAAGCTGGGCGCCAGGGGTTATATAATTCTATGGGTATAACTTGGGGATTTTGACCTCCATCAGTTGGGATATGGGGCCCCATATGTTTCATCAGCCACTTATTGAAGAAACTGCACACCCTTACCCATGTCATCAAACGTGGCTGGCTGGGAAATCTCCGAACTAAATGGAAGTTTTACAGGGGAAATCATCGAACTAAATGTGGGATTGTCAATTGCTAGTCCGGGTTTGATTACCGGAGGGCATTGATAAGGAGGTGTGGTATAAACTGAAATGTAAGGGGAATATCACCAGTAATATTTGGGTTTTTTTGTTTGCCCAACCTGTCATTCCATTTTCTTGGTTGGTGAATGGAGGGGTTTCCCTAATGAAATGTGTTAATCCCCACTGTATTGGATACTATGACTCTATACAAACATCAACCAACAGGGGCTTTTGAACGCTCAATGCTGCATAGGATAACCCTCATTCTTCGCAAGGGTGATGTTTGTGGAAGAACCCAACAGATGTTCGAGTTATTTCACCACTTAAAAGATGAAACGGAACGCCAAAAATGGGGTCTGGAAGATAATTTTCCTATGTCACCACCATATCCAAATTGGATCTGGTGATACTGTCCTATCTTGGTAAATCCTGGATCTGTGTCCTATATGTGTGATGTTTTTTCATGGGTTTTCCAACACAAGGGTTTTGCCTGAATGTAGGGCACCCCTAAACGTCATCAATCTGCTGGTTAACCATGAACATGGCCAGTGAGCAGGCATAGCCACACACATGTCGTTCAATTCCCATCGTTGCTGCAATTGGTGGTTCATCCCAGTCGGTTTTTGTGGGTAAGTTCACCCCAGTGAAATACCTGGGCGTTGCCGCTAGGTTTATCATGCACAAAAACTAACTGAGATGAGCAAACACATATGAATATACATCTATACAATATATACAATATATATATATAACCCATCTAATCAATGGAAATTGTCTTCCAAATAGTTGAAACCACTACATTACATTGAATTCAATTTTCCCCACTGTTGATGGTTAAATCCGAATTGTTGATTACACTCTGGCAATTGAACATAGCCATGAAACACTAGTAATAACAATAATAATACACACACATTATGTATATATATATATATATAAATTGCTATTGTAACATATGTGTGGAGCCCATCTGACACATATCAGTCATTCAGATCATCCCTCTGTTTGAACCACGAAGAAATCGGGGCGAGGCACCGCAGGCATCACGTTCCTCGTTGCAAGGCCGGGCATCTCCCAGGCGTCCCAGATCAAGTAGCAGCTGCGCCATATCTCCTGGGGATGACCCATTGTATGTGTGTAGGATGATGTATATACATATTTTTATTTAACTATATATATATTGGATCTACAAATAAATATGCACATTAGATATCTCATTCTATGTGTGTGTATATATATATATGTGATATATATGTGTGCGTGTGTATAATTAATTGGATATTTTTGATGCAGGATGGGGATCTGGAAAGGGGTTTCCTTCAAAAAAATAGTTCACTAAGTTGGTGTATAACTAGGCTGAGGGATTCGGGGGGTAGATCTCAAGTTAGATGGGTTTACAAACCAAAATTAGAACTGGGCCCATTCCTGTATAGAGATTGAAACTGTTCAATATCCTTGAACCTAGTTGATTTTGGATAATAATAATTCTAGATTCTAGACAATTCAGTGATTTATCAAGATTTAGAATCAAAAAATACCGTCCCCGGACCTTACTGATAAGTGTCCCGGTTTTTTTAAGGCGCCAAGCCTGCCAAGCCACTCACATGGATGGGCTGAAAGCGTTGCATCCCATCGCCCGCCAGGAGAAACAGCGGCGAACGTCGCAGGACCCATGCTGCGTTGTTCATCAGGATGGACTCACGTGGGGAATCGCCGAAAATGCCACAGGGCCGGGCTACGGCATAGGACACACCTGAAGCATTGAGGCATGTGCCAGGCCAATCCTATCGGGAATGGCTACCCCAGATTGCCTAAACATTGAGAAACATTGAAACATTGGCTGGTTTTACTGATATGAATTGTTTTAATGATTTTACTCACATATGTATATATATATATCAATAAATAAATAATTAAATGAAATTCCGAAATTGAAATTAAATTCAGAAAAAAATCGTTGCGATGACTGAACCACAAGAACGTGTATGGTCCTCCATGTGTGGACGCAACCCACCTGGAAGCCATTGCCCCCATACTGCGTCAAAGTTTTAGGTGGTGTTCCAGGGAAAAAATTAAGGATTTAACACCAATTAACTGTGGCAAATCCCGATCTTCTCAGCTAATCACTGTGCCCTCATATGCTGACCGTTTTAGCCGGACCGGTGGGGCCTGATTCCCTCAGCGCGGCCACCGCCCGAGCTTTGCCCGAAATGTAGGGAAAAGGCGAACCCACCTCGGAACCCATCTGAGCGTGGCACCACTATGGCCAGCAAACGGGAAGAGGTGCTAAATGACTGGAAACTCCAACCATCATCGTCATCATCATAATCATCATCATCATCATCGTCATCGGTCATCAGTCATCAGTCATCAGTCATCAGTCATGCATCATCATCATCATCATCATCACCATCATCATGATCATCACCATCATCGTCATCACCACCACAATCATCATATTTTTCATCATCACCATCACCACAACCATCATCACCACCACCATCATCGTCATCATCGCCATCATCGTCATCATCGTCATCATCGTCATCGTTGCCATCATCATCACCAGCACGAAGAACAAGAACAAGAACAACAGCAGCAACAACAACAGACGACAACGAACAACGGTGGCGGCGGCGGCAACAGCAACAGTCACAGCAACAGCAACACCATCACCGCTTAAACATCAGAGTCCTGACATTGGGCCCGTAGCACTATATAATTACAATTGTCATGGCGGTCACACAAAACTACTTGCCATGACAACATGACAACAACGGCCCTGGCCCAGTCCCACCTGCTACAGTCATACCCAGACCTCTTATAATTCCTGGTTTCAAACGGGACGCAGTGGCATGTGTATGGGAAGTATACACAATCCGTCGCACCCCAGCTTCTTTGGCCAGTTGAAACAATTTCTGACAGCGCTGCGCGGCAGCCGCAAAGGTGTCTCCATCGCGCTGGAAGCGAATCCAGTAAGTACACCAAAGCACGGAGCCTCAAAATGCAACACGAAAACCATCAGATTTGGATCCCCCTTTGAATTCGGTCCCTAACCCGGGTGTTCAGATTCTTTAAAGGGACGCCCTGTGCCACCAAAAAATATCTTTAAAGAATGGGAACCCTTCTGTACAGGCACCTGGTACAGTGCTTAAAGAATCATACCCAGTTGGCCACTCTAACCCATGAGGCTTAAAGAATCATACCCGGTTGCACCCCTCGAGAGGGCAAAAAATGAGCCTAAAGAATTAGAACACCCGGGTTTGAGTTGTAGACATTCACCCGTATGAAATTTCACATATGTTTTGTAGCTTTGCGTGGTTCTTCGGAAATCTACCTACAACATATTTTTACTAATGTTTGTTAGCCCTAAACACTCCCAATTCCAAAAAAAATGCGCAAACCAAAACACCTCCGCTCCTGCTCGCTGATCTCAATTCAATTTTTGCCGCTCTCTTGCATTATGACCCCGTGTAGAACAGAGAAAGTGGATTTTAGCAAAAAAAATAATAATAATAATAAAAAACAGAATCACCAAAAAAACAAATCGACAGGAAGAATCACCAGAAGAAACAAAAAAAACAAGAAAAAAACAAGAACAACACAAAAATTAAAAAAAAACAAAAAACAAAACCTGCATTTTCCGCAGTTTTTTTTGTTTTTCTTGTTTTTTTCCTTGGTTTTGGTTTTCTAGTTTGTTTTTTTTGGTTGCTCTGTTTTTTTTTTATATTTTTTCCGTCAAACCCTATATTCTCTGTGTTGTTGGACTCATAACTCTTGCAACGCAAGATTTCCCCAGTCTGATCTAAAGATCATTGGCAGTTCTGATTCTTTAGAGGTTATATAAGGCCTGTCGACCCATCAAAATTCAGTAGTTTTACATAGTTCTATGATATTTTGGTTCATTTTGGATAAGTTTGGGATATTTTCAGGAGAAGCCTCTCTAAAGAATCAGGACCCAGATCCCGACACAGGGGTTTGTTAAGCTGCCTTCTGAAAACCACTGGTGCTATACCTGGGAATATTGGAGGTTCCCTGGGGATTCCCTGGGGAGATGGTGTTGGACCGAGCCAGTTCTGATTCTTTAGAGGTTAAGGCCTGTCGACCCATCAAAACCCAGTAGTTTTACACAGTTCTATGTCATTTTGGTTCATTTTGGATAAGTTTGGGATATTTTCAGGGGAAGTCCCTCTAAAGAATCAGGACCCAGATCCCAACACAGGGGTTTGTTGAGCTGCCTTCTGAAAACCACTGGTGCTATACCTGGGAATATTGAGGGTTCCCTGGGGATTCCCTGGGAGATGGTGTTTTAACAGATTTGTAAGGGGACCGAGCCAGTTCTGATTCTTTAGAGGTTAAGGCCTGTCGACCCATCAAAACCCAGTAGTTTTACACAGTTCTATGTTATTTTGGTTCATTTTGGATAAGTTTGGGATATTTTCAGGGGAAGCCTCTCTAAAGAATCAGGACCCAGATCCCAACACAGGGGTTTGTTGAGCTGCCTTCTGAAAACCACTGGTGCTATACCTGGGAATATTGGGGGTTCCCTGGGGATTCCCTGGGGAGATGGTGTTGGACCGAGCCAGTTCTGATTCTTTAGAGGTTAAGGCCTGTCGACCCATCAAAACCCAGTAGTTTTACATAGTTCTATGTTAGTTTGGTTCATTTTGGATAAGTTTGGGATATTTTCAGGGGAAGCCTCTCTAAAGAATCAGAACCCAGATCCCAACACAGGGGTTTGTTGAGCTGCCTTCTGAAGACCACTGGTGCTATACCTGGGAATACTGGGGGTTCCCTGGGGATTCCCTGGGGAGATGGCGTTGGACCGAGCCAGTTCTGATTCTTTAGAGGTTAAGGCCTTTCGACCCATCAAAACCCAGTAGTTTTACACAGTTCTATGTTATTTTGGTTCATTTTGGATAAGTTTGGGATATTTTCAGGGGAAGCCTCTCTAAAGAATCAGGACCCAGATCCCAACACAGGGGTTTGTTAAGCTGCCTTCTGAAAACCACTGGTGCTATACCTGGGAATATTGGGGGTTCCCTGGGGATTCCCTGGGGAGATGGTGTTGGACCGAGCCAGTTCTGATTCTTTAGAGGTTAAGGCCTGTCGACCCATCAAAACCCAGTAGTTTTACATAGTTCTATGTTATTTTGGTTCATTTTGGATATTTTCAGGGGAAGCCTCTCTAAAGAATCAGAACCCAGATCCCAACACAGGGGTTTGTTGAGCTGCCTTCTGAAGACCACTGGTGCTATACCTGGGAATACTGGGGATTCCCTGGGAATTCCCTGGGGGGATGGTGCTTTAACAGATTTGGAAGGGGACCGAGCCAGTTCTGATTCTTTAGAGGTTAAGGCCTGTCGACCCATCAAAACCCAGTAGTTTTACATAGTTCTATGTTTCTATGTTATTTTGGTTCATTTTGGATAAGTTTGGGATATTTTCAGGGGAAGCCTCTCTAAAGAATCAGGACCCAGATCCCAACACAGGGGTTTGTTGAGCTGCCTTCTGAAGACCACTGGTGCTATACCTGGGAATACTGGGGGTTCCCTGGGAATTCCCAGTGGGGATGGTGCTTTAACAGATTTGGAAGGGGACCGAGCCAGTTCTGATTCTTTAGAGGTTAAGGCCTGTCGACCCATCAAAACCCATGCTTTTTTATCGCTTTCTTTTGTATTCCCCAGTGTTACTACATTCATTGGCCCTGCATTTTCTCTAAAGAATCTAGACCCAGTGAATCACCAAGGAGGAAGAGAGGAAAAAAACATTCTTTAGAGGGAGAGCTGGTGGCAGCACCGATCAGATTTAGATTCTTTAGAGATCTTTAGAGCTCAAGAAAGGATACTCAGAAGAGCCCAGAAGATTCAATACTTGTTGTACATGTTTTTGCCATTGTTTGGCCATGTGTAGCCCAGGAGAATTTCCGAATGATTTCACAGAGAGGATGATCGAGAAATACTGGGAGAAGGTGAATGACGATGGTTTATTCCTAGGGGTAGCAGATGCCTTTCTTTTTGCGGTGAAGCAGGGCAAGAGTTTAGCCATTGCAGTTGATCCTCAGCCTGATCGGGCCTTGGAGGTTCTCAGTGCCAGAGATTATCTGTGCGGGATTCTTCCTGAAAACATCCAGATCGAACGGAGAGAAGGTGACGACTTGGATACAAGAGTCCTGATTCTTGGTGCATAGTCAGCTGCGACGCCAAGTTTGCTCAAGAAGGTGAGCGGAATCACTACGTCCCAGCCATTTTCAAGGATCAGCTCACTCAGGACGAGTGGTTTGATCGCACTGTTTTGGGCCAACGGTCCACTCGGAATGAGTTGAGGGAGAAAGAGCAAGCATTGAGGACGCTTGATTCAGACCTATAGTGGATGCCACATCATGCCTCTGTTCCATTTTTATTGAAATATTCTATGAAGGATCAAAGAATTGGAGCTGATTTCATTAGGGAAACACAAGGCCACCAAAATGCCTACTACATTTTAATGTCTGTATTTTGCTATGCCCGGCAAAACGATGAACGGAGTTATTGTATGAATCTATGTAAAATTTTGCTACTCTCATCATGTCTAGTGTCAGTTTTGTTGCGGCTTTTGAGCCATGTTTTGGCCAGCACTTGAAAAATTGAGAAGGTCATTTTAGGGTTCCAAAATTGCAAAAAAATGCTTCCACAACATAGTCCTCTAAAGAATCATACCCGGCTGCCCTTCATAGAGAACGCGACCCCATGCAAACAGGCAAAGTTAATTCTCTAAAGAATCAAGCAGAAATTGACAACCCGGGTTGTCTTATTCTTTAGAGGAAATTCCAAGGGGGATACCGTACCCTGACTTCAATATTTCAATAAAGACCCGAACAAGGGAAGTCAATAGTGACCTTGGTGCAAAGCCCGGTCCCGCAAGAACTTCCCAGGCCTTTTTGCCAGCTCCATGGCCATTGGCAAACACAGCTGCTGGGGCCCAAATTGGACCAAATCGGATGGTTTGTGAATGTGTGTGAATGTGTGTGATTTATGGATATTGATGAGTATTCGAATAACAGTTAACAATATTCAGTATTCATGATGGTTTGATAGATTTTGATAGTATTTGAGATCGTGTTGTTTGTGTGTGTGTGCAGCAGTGTGTGTGTGTGCATTGCCACTCAATAGTTTCAAACACCTGTGGGTATGAATTTCTTCCTCAGGGTATTTTTGCCTTGTACGAAGCTCAGGATGCTTGTGCTCCTTGCAGCGACTCGTCACTCTAATGCCAAGGCTGGGGATTGCTTTGAACGCCTAGCCAGGCAAGGCTAGCTACTAACAGGGGGTTCCACAGTCCAAATCTTCAGAACAAGTCACCAATATGTCTGATTTTCTTCTGCAGTTGCTTTAGCATCTGCGTTACTGTTGCCTGAAGCGATGACCAGACACTCAAGTAACCCCTGACGAATTTTATTCTGTTTTGTACAGTCGAAAAGGACAAACAGCCCAGAAGTTGCTGCCATCCCACGGTGCACCTGAGGGAAAGTCATTTTTGAATTTGAAAAATTGGCTGAAACTGGCTGAAACTGGCTGAAATTGGCTGAAATTATCGCATTTGGCTGCTGGAAAAGTCGCTGGAAAATTGGACACCCAGCTGCCAGAACTTTCCCTGCTCAACGCGCCGGCCCACAGCAGCTTTCCCACAGGCCCTGTGACCACACACGGCTCTGGTCTAACAGGATGTCCCTGTGTCACCAGGTTCCACAACCGACTGGGGACCTTTCCAATTCGATTCAACAGCAATTGCTGCAAAACAAGCTTTCGTTCTGATCTCTTTGTGTTGAGCATCAAGAAAACGGGCATTGCGCACGCAGGCATCATGAAGCAGTGGTAATGACCAGCCTGGTCATGCAATCAGGCTTAGAATGGTCAAACGTGCATGGTACAAGTCATTTCAAATCCAGCATTCAGACTCCTCAAAATTAACAAACGC